TCTCTATTAGCAAAAAAGAATATTCCGTTTTCATAGGCATAATCCGAAGATATCAGCTTTCTTACTGTTTTGCAAACTAGCAAGTCAGGATACTACCGTATATTGGTCATCATAGTTTAGACCTGGGCAGACAGATATTTCGACATACAGGTCCACCTCAAGAGATCAGTCAAACGAAAAGTGTAGTCAGAGATGCCAGCGTCGAGAACTACATGTGAAAGCAATGTGGACAGTTACACGTTATAATTCGTCTTCTGCTCACTAAAATGAATTTGAATATTGGCTGACGTTGCGGACAGCGGGGACCTGCTGTCCTTTGTCAAAGCGAAAACTGATCAGCTGTTTAACTTTGCGGCTGTAATTGTTGGTTTTGGGCTGATCGATTTTTCTTCGTTTGTTGTCTGGACTTGCGCGTAGATTTTGGACTGGCGTGACGGCAATTGGTGATATGTTCTGTCCCCACGGTAGAGGATGCTGGTTATCCTGCTCCCTTTCCCGGTGGTTTCATCACAGAGCCATTTTTGTCTGCGAATCCTGACTTTGGTTTGACCGTACCCTGTCCTTTACTCACGTAATTGAACAGGACTTTGTAGGCCGCAGGGAGGTGCAGATGTCTGTTGACAGAGTTGGCGTCTGAGTGTCGTGGTTCAAGAGCCAATCTTTCAACTTTTGAGGTTCGTCGGCCAACGATGCTCGTTCCTTGATTATCGAATTCGTGGCTGGCCTCTCCGATATGTGTGGCAAGCTGCAATTTAAGGCCTAGTCTCCGGGCCGCGGCTTTGCGTTCTTGTAGGTTGGTCTGCAATTTGCGTCCTGTTTCACTAACTTAATTACAGTCTCCATCATTGCAACGTATTTTTTTAGACTGTGGAGGTTTCAGTATGGGTAATGTGGCTTTAGGTTGCATCGCTCGAAGGCGTCTTGTCGTATGAGATCGGAGAGCTATTCCTACTCCAGCGGATTGTAACTGACGAGAGACTGCTCTGGAGCCTGCTTTCATGTATGGAACGGCCCTCCAGACTTCGGGTTGCGAATTTGTTGCGCGTCGTCTGTTCATTTGGCGCTTCCTTTGGCTTACAAAATAATTCGGGTACCCATTAGCACGAAATAGGTCACGTAGCTATTTATGTTCCACTATTTGTCAGCCTTTGTGCTGCAATGTGTTTCAATGGGTTGCAATGGAAAAGAGTACAAAAACACAGCGTTCTCTACCGTTGAGTCAGAAAGGAGCACTAATTGACGTCACGCCAAACCAAAAGCCACGTGCAAGGCCAAGCAGCAACTGGACACTATTCGATCAGCCCAAGGTTAACACTTACAGCTGCACATTTAATTTGCTGATCGATAAAATTCAGTATTTGCTTTGACAAAGGACAGCAGTCCTAGCAGTCTGAAACTTCAGTAAATCTTCTGATTTATTCCAGAAAGCAGAAGTTGAATTAAAATTAACGTTCCGGAATTGAACAGTTGGATGTCTTGGGAAAATTACAATTCAGACTGGTTTCTAAATACCCATTCTGCATTATTCCGCACTACAATTTAGCATGACTTACCTAAGTCCACTCACCCTAGCTGGGCTAGCGGTAAATAAGCCATTTAGAAAAAGCGTGTATTTGTGCAATGTTATAACAATTTTCCCCATCAACATTACGTTTGGTTCCCCCCTTCTATAAACATTAGTTCGTCGGAGGCAATCGATCTTGCGATGTAGGTAGTTCTGACTATTGGTGTGACACAGCATGTGGTGTGCTACGTACAAAACAACGTTTGTCTAAATCGTATATACGGTATCTAAGTCAATATACTGACTGATCCACGTGCCGCATGAGTCCATGGTCTGGACAAATGCATAGTTCCCTTCCATGGGCAAAATCCGAAGAGGTCAGTCTTGTCAATATTTTGTAAACTAACCTGCCGGGATACTGCAGTAGGTAGGTCAAGATAGGTTAGTCCTGGGCCGATACCATTTTGGCATGTAGGACAACAGCAAGAGACAGAAGAGGTCAGTAACTGGAAAAGCGTGGTCGGAGGGGCTGGTTCCGATAACTAGATGTCAAAACAGTTTTGACTGGCAGTGTCGCCTGCATAATTAATTTAGCTCACTTGGTGTTAGCTGCAAATTCAGTGCAGTGAAGGCGTCTGGGGCTCTGGGTTATTAACTTGACCGTTCGAATTCAAGATCAATTGACTGGATAAACAAAGTTGGTGCCAACTATGGCAGATTCTGGTCTGTCTTTGGAAATTTGCAACTCTGACTTGTTTCTCAAGACCCATGCTGCACTATTTCGCACTAAAATTTTATCTACATCAAATTAAGACCGCTCACCTTAATTGGAATAGCAGGAAATAAGCAATTTGAAAAAGCCTTTTTTTGAACTTACTTACCATTTTCGCCATCATCATTGCTTTCACTTTCTTCTCCCATATCCAGTGGTACGTCGAATTCAATCGAGCTTTTGATGTAAGTTGTTCTGAAATATCGTGTGACAGTGTCAACGTCTGTGATGCAGTTCACACAAAACGACGTCACAGAGTGCCACAGAGAGTACCAAGGAGGCTAAAACAATGAATATTGGTCATAAATTTGGCGTATTGGCTGGTATGGGCGTTAGTTCGCATGGCTTGATGTTCGTATTTTCCACAGTTATGTATATATACATAAAGGATTTACTTATTTTAAAGTATGAATACGGCATCGTCATGACGAAACCTGATTCTTACGTTTGGTCACGTTATTTCATCAACTGAGTAGATTAGATTTCTGAAAAATTCTTTAAGTTAGGGAAATGGCCATTTGAAGTTAAGGGTATTCAGGGAAGTGGGCAATACTTTTGGCGAAATAGGAGTAGTCGCATATTGAGTTAAGGTTCTAGGCACCAAACTTCATATAAATGTTCATTTTCGTATGTGGGAACCCCGAAATAAGTGGGGAAAGTTTAAAGCATATACCTTCCAGAAACGCCAAATTTGGTCCGACTGTGTTTAACCAGTTTTGTGTAATCGGAAATACCTTCAGAAACAGAGGGGAATTTTAGTTTTAAAAAAAAATTTTGCTATACTAAGAAGCTTTTAACCAAAAATGCAGAAAAAGTGTTTTGAGCGCAGTCTGTTTTACCACATAAAGTTTAAGAAGTACGTAACCAAACTGGTCATATATTATCGCGAATGTGTAGGGTGAACAAAACCTTATTATAAATAAATCATTTGGAAATATACCTTTTGGACATAACGGTTACCGCACATGCGTAATTTAGAAACGGAACGGACAGCCTAAGAATACCTTTTACAGAAATTGCCACACATGGTCACCCTATTTTTCGTTCGCAGTCTTAGCACTGAACCTGTACGTAATAAGCTTTGGCGGAAAGTATTTCGATATGCAGGGCGAAGTGCAAAACTTGGCAGACTTCCAAAATATATTTTTTAAAATTTATTTCGCGCTTCTTTTCCCAAAATTATGTGCCATTTCCTTATTACACTAACCTCAATTTCATGGTCGCAAAAAAACTGTCCGTTTTATGAAAAGATATAATTAAAACGTTTCTGCTCCTCATGAATGTTGTTCTATAGTGCAACATGCATGCAAAATAGGTTCTTTTCTGCAGCGTTTAATAGCGTAGGAAATTACTCGGATATCAACATACGCTGGATTTCGCCCATTTTCGCCTTTATTTTCTGGCAATATTCTCAGCTGAATAGAATAAACTTCTACTTAACAACATTTTGCGCCCCAGGTCAACACAACAGACTAAATAAACAACCTCAAGTGTGCGTTGCATCCTCAAATCACCATTCTTTCATCAGATATGTAATCTACTGTACAGTATGTAGGTTATCATATGATAGTCCTGGGCAGGCAGACATTTTAACATACAGTAAAACAACAAGAGGCAGAAGATGTCCGGAACTCGAAAACTGTAGTTGGAGTGACCAGTGCCGCGAACTAGATGCGAAAGCAATTTGGTCTGGCAATGTCTCCTGACTAACTGAATTAGCTCACACAGTGTGCCCTGGAAACTCTGTCTGGTCAAATCGCCTGGGGCTTTCCTATGTACAGAGTATTTTATCTGTAGATAATTCGTTTGAGTGTCC